CATCCCATCTTTTACATCATTTTTGAAGTCTCATGCTAAGGCCTTGAACACCTTATTGGTGTTTTGAAAATAGATGTGATAAAAGAATAGTGAATCATAAAGCACTGCATGCTCATACATTACTGGCTTCTCATTCACAGAGTAGGTTTAGGTAATAACGTCATGTTGTATTCAGTAACAGTGTAAACTAGCAATTGAGACCATAAACTCATTATGAAAGTGTTCATTTAAGGTAGATTAAAGAAGACAAGGGCTGTTTTCTTTCTACGTCTGTACAATCGTTTCATTTTGTCAACCAGAGCATTCGCCCTCTGCTGGCCATTGAAACAAATCCCAGTTCAGGGTATTTCCACATTGGACTCTATGTTAAAACATCTGGCCTTTCTTCACTGCAATCATCTCACCTAACTTCTGCCCTGTCTCCTTCCCTCTTCCCAGAACCAGTCACACGATGACTGCCTCCTGTTAAAAGGGAGTTTTTTCCATCCAACCTTCGTTAAGTGGTCAGAGGGTCGTCTGATTGTTGGGATTTTCTCTGTACTATTGACTCCAGTCTACAGTCTCTACCTTACAATATAAAAGACCTTGAGATAACTGAATTGAATTGCATTGAATTGGAATGACTTCCTAAATCTGGTTGGGTTATCTGTTCATTGTAAACTCTACTAATTTGATAATATTCAAAAAAAGCAAAAGTATAAAATAAAGGAGCAATATCCACAGACTATTATGAGGTGGGAAAATGTAATAATACACTTTAACATTTTTATCACAAATTTCTTTGATCATTTTAATGATTTCCCTTTAGTGCTGCTTTGCTGTCATGTTAATGTAACCTTTTTTAGAAGTGGTACATCATGTCACTCACCATAGTGTGGGATGATAGCCCAGGCCATGGCTGAGGCATAAATTCCTCCAATCATCCAGAACATGCACAGCCAGCTCAGATGCTCTCCTCTCTTCTCGCGAGCCAACACCTCCGCAAAGTATGAGAATACTATCGGTACTGCTCCACCGATCCTGTAAATACAGCTTGTTGTAATTAGCTATGCATGCTCAAAAAGGCAATCCTCATTTGCCTCATCAGCGCTTGCAACAGTTAACATTTATCACAATATGAAACTGATTTATTGTTACAGAAAACATTTCTTCATTTGTCACTGTGAATTGTACAAACGTCTGAAACTTTTTTTAGAACAGTCAAATCATGACAAATGACAACAAGACAAATCATGAGATAAGAAAAGCTCAAGTTACATGTCTTGAACATGCTGTTTTCAGTAGTCATGCCGTATATAATGAATGCACATTATTCTGAGTAGTTCATGTTTCAAAGCATTTGTCTGGTTTTGTCGACGAATTAAAGGCTTTTTTTAATGTAGCTTTAAAATTGGACTTTGTGTTCAGAGTTTTGAGTGAAGGGAGTGAGGTTTCCAGAAATGTGTCTTCGCACATTTTTTGTTCATTCATGTCACAAAGCAGATTCCACACTATTCTGGCTTATTTTCTGAGTCTTACCAGATCATCAGGAGGCAACGGCACTATCCACTGCAGCTTAGTATTTGTTTGCACAAACTGTACTGTCATCTTCTTGACCAAAGAAAATGAAAAATCACCACACTGTAGCACACAGGATATTACAGTCTTTAAACCATCTTTGCTGCTTTCTATCAAACTTGCTTATTATATCATTTTCCAGAATCACAGGTTGTGTGGCCTTTAAATTTAACATAGTGAACATGTCTCAAATTGCATAGTTCCATATTAGTACGTTGTTGTATCTTGTGTTGATGTGAGGGATAGGTGCACTGAACTGAACCCTTTCAGTGAGGTGTCAGTAGAGTCAGAAGGAGCCCATCTGTGACTGCAGATACTTTACAGATTACAGATACAGATTTTTTCATTGCCTCAGAGTGTCGTACATATTTGGAGAGGAAAAAACAAATGGCAAATCTTACTAGTGTATCTCTTAAAATTAGAATATCATCAAAAAGGTTTTTTTTTCATAATTTATTTCAGAAAGTTACATTTTCATGTAATCATTCAACACGAAGCCTTTTTGTTTTAATTTAGATGATAATGGCTCAAAGTTCATGAAAATACAGTATCTGATAATGTGTTTGTTATTTCTACAGATCAATAACAAAAGCATTAACAATACAAAAACTTCTGAAAGGTATTTTCATCTATGCACACCTTTCTGAGATGCACTGGTTTTACTGTCAGTGTTATGGTTGACTACAGTGTTGCAAATGAGAGGCAGATAAAGAGCAATCAGCATTTCTTTTATTATTATACATTTGTTTCTGATTCATTTCAACATTAATTGGCTGAATTTAATATGGATAGATGGCTTTGGAGAAAAACAAAGATAGCATGTATTGAAAATGTTGAACTTCTCCTTTAAATTCTGATCTGAGCTGTAGCTGTTATATCACAAATTTCTCAATTGAGCAGCCATCTGTGACATTTTAATTTCTCACTACATGTAGAAACTAAGCGCTAACTCATGAGGAACAAGTAAAGAATCTGCATTGCCATATGCTTTGTATTACCTGAAAGATGCCAATATTAGATAATCCTTCCATTTATTCATAAATTATTTAAAGTGCTTATACATCTAAGATGAGGTGATAGAGCCTGTCCTAACCGATACTTAATTAGAGGTGGGGTACACCCCTTTCCATTTAAGATAAAGTAAATAAAATAAAATAAAAACCTTTTCAGATCATCAACATTACATATTCATAGAAACTGTGTAACTGCAAAAAGTCTTGAAGCAAATGAAAATGTATGTGGCTTGTTTTCAATTCTCAAAAAAACAAAACAAAAAAACAACCATGTATAAAGTATACAGTAAATATTCAAGATTGTGGTGACACCCGAGAATCTGACGAAATTGGGTTGTGCCTTTTGTCCTGCTTCCTTTATGTCTGCGTGAGAGAAACTTATAATAAAAGGTTATATATGTGTGAAAATAATTGTCTATGATATTCATTCTAAAAATGTCAAAACCTGTTTAAGGTTTTGCCAGAGGAATGACTGATATGACAGACTGGTTTAGAACATTAAGTAAAATTGCACTAAAACTTAATCTGTGTGAATTCTTTTTTTTTTTTTTCATTATGGCACTGTGCTGTGAATGTCTTTTCCTATTTGCTGAGACAGCTTCTGATAGCAACGCTAATAAGGTAGGGAAAAACTTAATGAAAGGAACAGTGAAACACACAGCACTGGATGCCAGATCGTATTTCTGCCAGAATGAGGATGGAAAAGAAAGCAGAAGATCTCAGTGACCCCTTACAAAACAATGCCTCTTTGCTGTTATTCCCAAAGGTATATGAACAATCATAGATACCATCCCACACCATAGACTACTTTCTGCATACAGATTGACAACTAGTGGTGACATAAAAGCTAAAACTGCTAATGAAATTTTAAAGCCATTAAGGCAGAAGCTGTTTTTCAGATGATGTGAGGTTTACTGGTTGCTTACAGAACTGTAATTAAATGCACAAGAGCTGAGTGCAGCTCAGGTGAACCAATCATGAATGCCCTCAGGCACTGTTGCCCATTCTGATTTGAATATCCATTTTGGTCTAGTCATGAAGCAGCACCAGCTTAAGCCATCACAACTTGATCTAAATGTTCATACAGTATACAATCTAAAAAGGATATCATGTCACTGAGATGGGAGGGCTGTCAAGGATCTGTGCAGCCAAGCAGACCATGCTAGCATTAAAACACCCAGATGTTCATTTACACTACCAGCTGATTTCTGCAGACCTTTCTCTTTTGCTTTATTTCTTCTATACCCCTGGGTATGAGGAAGAGCTGATGCCTGGCAGTTAGTATAACCTCTTGTCATGTGTTTTGAATTTGGAAGAGGAGAGACAGCAGAGGAAGTGGTAGGAAGATAGATCAGAGGGTCTGCAGGAGCGTGAGAAGAGGAAAGTTAAACAAACTTACCCGAAGCCAGACACCATGCGGCAGAAGAGGAACATACTGTAGCCCTGGACAAAGGAGGAAAGGAAGGCAAAGAAGCCGTTGACTGACATGGATATAAGCAGGCACTGTCTGCGGCCCACTTTGTCTGAGAGGCCACCCCAGAAAAAGGCTCCAAACATCATCCCCAGATACACAATGCTGCCTGGAGGAGGGGAGACAGGGGGAAAGACAGTGGTAGAGAGAGAGAGAGAAAGAGGGAGAACTATAAATGATCACAACCATCTGGAGTCAAGTGTTTGTTACTGAAACCGCTGAGTTAACAAAATCCATTTTACATTTTGGGACATAAGAAGCAATTCAGCAATTTATTCATGCATCCTCACAACACACACAGCTTTTAAGCTAGAGTTCATAGATAACAAAAACCTGAACTCCATCACTAAAACTGACTTAATGTACACTTACAGTCTGTACTTAAACTACAGACTTTAAATAATCCCATAATCTATCATCCAATTATTGCTTTACTTTTTTTTCTATAAGACATGGAAGAAAATGAGAAAAAATTGAATACAAAATAGATTTTGTTTTTGTTTAGACACAAAAAAACAAAAACAGATTTCTTTGATATTTCTTATGCCTAGTTATTTGTTTTTACTCACTTACGCTCTGCTCAGCTAGATGGGCATATGTTAGGTACTTCTAGTCTTAAATGCATTAAATTACAAGAGCTGCTCAGTGTCCTAACAACATGTTAGACTGTTCAGTGCTCACACACAACAATGTGGTTCAAAAACTTTGGCTTAGAATATTTATCTATTCAATGGGATCTCATAATGTGGTAACTCAAGATTTTTTTTCTCCTTTTTTTACTGAAAGCCTAATATTGTACATTTTTGCGGTGTAATGAAGATTTGACCATGTATTAAATTTCTCCAAATCAAATCACTGTCTGACAACTGATATTTCTTAAAGTGTCTCTAGGAAAAATAGAGCAGCAGTTGAATTTGTGGCTCTGTTTCTAAATCCAGGTCTTTGTACTGCTGCTTACCTGTGCAAGGTTGGGGTCATTTCTCTCCCCATGCAGTAAAGACATTGGGTGGCAGTGGTGGAGAGGGGTTAGGGTTGTCCTGTAAACAACCCAGTTTTCTCCCTATGTTCTAATAAAAATGGTAATTTGCGGAGGAAGGCGTTTGACATGGCAGCACCTGAAATAATCCTGGCAGATGATAGGAAGCAGCACCCCCCCCACACACCGCCCCCCTCCCCCCATGTTTGCGGTGATGGGACAGATACGCTGAAAGTGGAGGGCCTTATCAAGCTGGGCAGACATGATGCTGAGAGGTAGTGATTCATTACAGGTGACAGCCCCTGGATCTATGCACTTCAGCTGCAGAGAAAGCCCTCCTATAGGTAGTAGGATATAAAGGTGAAGCTTCACTCGAGCTGGCTTACAAATATCAAACTGAATATCAAAAGTGCTGCATTCTGCACAAACTGTTGACACTTTTTGATTTGTGTAGCTACATCTGAGCGTGTGTACTGAAGAAGATGCTATCTGGGAGCACTAGCTCATTTGTTTTATGGCTTCACTCACGCAGAGTTTGTATCTGTAATAAAGGGGGAGGGTGATGGGGCATCTGAGAGGCATTCTGAGATTGGATTTGCGATTTCCTGCTGGGTTCAAACTCAGGTCAGACCTTAAGGGCCTTTATGCAAATTAGCAAGGGTCAGTTAAAGGCACTGAAGCACATGGGGGAAAAGGTTTTAAATGCTTTTTTCAAGCAGGAAACCATACATACAAATGCATTTTAAAATCCCAGTGGTATAAATACTTCCATATAAAAGAAATTAGTAAGTGAGACTGCTTAACAACAGCATGACCAAGGATATTGAAAACAGTGCATCCATCCAGTAGTGTTTGCAGTAGAGCACCATGAATCTTCATGTAGATACTGACGTTGTAACTGAAGGCCACTAATTGCTAGTTTCACCGTACTATGAATAGTGACATTAAATATCATTCATTCATTCTAAGAAAACATACATAAGTTCTTTGACTATACAAAAAAAGCCCAAACCAAATGCACTTTTTACTCTACAGTCAGCTGATTCAGTTTGTGTGTGGGAAGGAAGTTTATAGCAGACTTTTATAAACATTAGTTTTTAATGGAATGTGAGTGTAAAGTGCAAACTGAATCCAGATATCACAGCAAAACATGTAATAGATACGCCATTTGATTATGTCTATTTCACGCTTTGCCTCTCCAAAGTGTGAAAAGGACACACTTGCAGTAAGTTGCAGAAAACTGCAGTAACAGCAGAGTGAGATATTTTATTTTAGGCGAACATCAAAATAATGGGAGGGTTTAAATAGACATTATTAACACATTTGCATGTACATACATATCAGCCGCCTAGCTTAATCGTTTCTGACAATTACGGATCTTGGAATGCACTTCATACGTTTTTTGCTCACTACCGACTTCGTGGCTATATTATTTCCCCTTGCTGGTAATGCTATTTCTACATGCGTGCCCATTTCACGTTTTGGATAGGCAAAGTGTGAAATGGACACGGTGGATCAGCATGTCTATTACTTGCTTTGCCGTGATACTGGGTTGGACACTGGATAGACACAACTATCCACTACTGCTAAGCCACAGTACCTGCAAAGGCAGCATGGCAATACAAAGTTGACTCCATGCTGACCCCAGTTAAGCACCCAGAGCCTGACCTTTACGGTTAAGAAAAGCAGAAATAGCAGTCTAAATTGTCTTTTTCAACTTCTATCCATACCCGTTTCTACAGAATCTCTTTGGCAATCACTGTAAAGTTCTCTTTGGGATGGGTTTAAGCTTTCTTTCAGTTTTATGTTCACACTTGTGCTTATTAGAATAAGGATTTAGATTTGGATGGATTTAAATGATAAATGTGTGACAGCGCATCTGGGAACACGTTATCGAGTAATACAGAAGTAACAAGTAATCTAATATTTCTCCAGGAATGTAATGTAAAATGAATAAATACATAAATAAAACAGCCTTAGATTACTTGTTACTTTTACAAATGTAAAGATAAAGGACTGCTTTTTTGACCAGATCCCTCTTGTAAAACAGCCTGTGTTCGCACCCTGATTACCAACTACCAAAGAAACCAACAAAGTTTCCATTTCATCAGTGTTACTTGACTGTGCACATTGTCAGCACACTGTTAGATCATGAATATGAAAATAAAATGACATGATTGTGATAGTTCACTTGATGGATGTTATTTGAGATAGTTTACAAGATTAGAAACCTACTGGTATTGCAGTAAAATCAAATACTGTATCATAAATAAGTGATTTATGCATGAATCATACTCAATGGTTAAAACAAATAGATATTTAAGCCCCCAAAACATGCAATGGTCAATCAGAGATTTTTTTTTTTTTGTCAGATATTCCAATTCAACAGTGTATTCAAATTTTATAATTCCATATTTACACTGATAAGGCATAACATTATGACCACTAACACTGATTATCTCTTCAACACGGCCACTGTTAGTGGGTGGGATATATTAGGGAATAAGTGAACATTTTCTCCTCAAAGACCTCAAAGTCCTGGACAAGATACTGAACCCCAAGTTCCTCTCTGGTGTGTTCATCAGTATGTGAATATTAAAATATTCACATTAAAATTAAGAAATGTGGATGTAGACTGGATTAGCTTGAATGAATGATGAATATTGGTGAATGTGGAATTTCATTTTAAAAAAAAAGCTTGAGTAGAAAAGTACACCATGCATTTTTAGCCACCTAGATGGATTTCAAAGTTTATTCAGTGTGTGTTTAGATAAAACATCTAAATGACAAAATTATATATTGTCCGTAAAAAGTTCTAAAAGGATGACATTGTACAGCAACGTCTTTCACAGAGTATCACAGCCATGGTCAACCACCCTAAACACATATAAGGGTTATGACTTGCCTCCATTTCTCAAACACTTGTAGTCAGAGGACCTCAGAAGTGCAAAGTAAACCTTACTAAAGTTGTTCTGAAAACACCTGAACTGTTAAGTGTGAAGTGTTAATCTTCTTCTTAAGTAAGACCAGACAGTGTCTGCTTCTAATGTTACACTGTGTAGCTTTTGTTGCATCCAATGGGATTATTTCAGCAGTGGAGTCTCAGCAGTCTGCATGCATGCCACTTCCTTTTCCACAGTAATTAGCTCTTATGTGCAAGTGTAATTCTCTCTTGACACATTTCTGCTCTGTTTTCTCATCCTGTCACCATGCAATGTCCTGGCATGGATGAGAGGAGAGCTTCAGGATTTCAACAGATGAGGGTATTCCCTGAAGACCACCTGTGATTGACAGGTGGTTGCTGCAGGGAATCATACAAACAGTTTGTTTCAGAGAGGGAGGAGGAGAAGACCCCTGGGAGCAACACACTCTGGCATTAATTAAATCAGTGGTTCCCAAACTTTTTTTGCTAGGCCCCCCTTTGTTTTACAAGAAAAATGTTTGCGCGCGCACGCACACGTACACACACGCACGCACACATCCTCCAACCACACACACCCATATTTTGCTCCATTGTGGTTTATTTCACACCTCAAACATTTAGTAAGCAATTAAGCAAATACAAGTAATCTGCAATAAATTACAGGTAGTAATAAAATAAACTACTAACTCTTTTACGCTACGTCCACACCTAAAACGGGTATTTTTGAAAACGCAGCTGTTTCGTCCACACGTAAACGGCATTTCGAATCACCGAAAACTGAGATTTTTTTAAAAAATCCTTTTTTGCCTTTACGTGTGGACGAGGAATACAGAGTTCATCACACAACGTCAAAGGTATGTGCCCTTTTTCCCGTCACACTGTGCACCACGTTATTGTTTACATAAGATGAATTGCAGAATGGCAGATAGAGATGAAATACTGTCACTGTTAATCTGACTATCTTCAGGTTTTACAGCTTACATATACACACACAGTTACTGTCCCTCCATTTAGAAAGGCAGAGGCGTCAAGGTGTGATTATTTTACGTATAGTTGTTTTTTGCCCTTGTGTAATAATATTCAACATTGCAATCAAATCAAAAAATGCCTCTCTGTGCAAAATGGGTTTAAAAACATAAACAACTGTGGGATACTGTTTGTCCGTGATTTGAACTGGGGGACAAATTGTGGCAGGATCAGCCTGATGTTA